GGTAATTTAGCACGGCCAATCCACCCTAACCTGCAAATCCCTGGGCAGTATGGGTAATTTAGCATGGCCAATCTGCCTAACCTTTAAATCCCTGGGCACTATGGATAATTTAGCATGGCCAATCTTCCTAAACTGCACATCCCTAGGCACTATGGGTAATTTAGCATGGCCAATCCACCATAATCAGCACATCTTTGGACTGTAGGAGGAAACCCACGCAGACACTGGGAGAACGTGCAACTACCCACAGATAGTTGCCCGAGGGTGGGATTGAGCCCGGGTCCCTGGTGCTACGAGGCACCATTTATTTCTATTTTTTGTGAGTGGAGTGGACATGTACCTGAAAACAAAAACTTTGCAGGGCTGTGGGGAATGGGAAGGCGAATGGGACAAATCAATTTATTTCAAAGAGATGGCACAGTCCTGATGGCACAAATGGTCTCACCTTGTGCTGCATCCCTTGTGTGATTTGGAACAATGGAACGTATCAAACTATATAAAGTGGGGCGGGCTGGGGGAATGGCTTTGTGAGACATTTTACGACCTTGTCAGCGTTTAGATGCCCAGGCTCACCAACAAATACTAGTCAGGCCCCTGGTACAAGGAAACAGAACTGATACGAGTCAATCTGACCGTGCGATGTTATCACTGTGCACGGATCCCATGAGTTAGGGTGGCAGGAAACATCTGTCATATCGGGATACGATGGCCCTAACACATGCCTACGAACGATGGTTGGGGATGGATCAGTCTTGGGAGTGAGGTGTGCTACAGTTGAACAGATTGCTCTGTTCACCAACCATGCTCCCCTTATTAAGGACTTGGATGGGTTACTTCAGGACTTGACCCAGAAGATTCAACAACAAACAACAGGCTGCACTTCTAGGTAGCGCCTTTTCACCTCACCAAGGCTTCCGGCGAGAGCACTTTTCAGATTAAAGGGCTTCCGGAGATGTTAAGACTGGGGAAGACAATGGCCTAATGGTATTATTGATTAAACTATTCATCCAGAGATCCAGGTACGCTTTGGAGGGATCGGGATTTGAATCCTGTCACGGCAGAGAATGGAATTCAAATTTCAGAACCCAAACAAAACCGGATTCAATGATCCAATTGTTGGGGGGAAAGCCCTTCTGGTTCACTAATGCTCTTTAAGGAAGGAAACTGCCATCCTTACCCTGGCCTGGGTCTACACGTGACTCCAGACCCACAGCAATGTGGTTGACTCTTAATGAGGGCTGGGTAATAAATGCCGGCCCAGCTAGCGATGCCCTCATCCTGAGAATGAATAAATGCAAAAGGATGACCACCAGTAATTGGTCCAAGAGGCAGGATGTTGAGGTTGTACAGGACATTGGTGAGGCCTCTTCTGGAACACTGTGTCCAGTTCTGGTCGCCCTGCTATAGGAAGGAGATCATTACACTGGAGACGGTTCAGAAAGGATTTACCAGGACGTTGCTGGAAATTGAGGGTTGAAGTTATAAAGAGAGGCTGGATAGGCTGGGACTTTATTCACTGGAGCTAAAGGGCTGAGATTATCGAGGTTTACAAAATCATGAGGGGCACAGATAGGGTCAATAGGCAGGTGTCTTTTCCCTGAGGTGGGGGGGGGATTCAAGACCAGGGGCATATTTTTAAGGTGAGAGGAAAAATATTTAAAAAAGACATGAGGGGCATTTTTTTTAACAGAGAGTGGTTTATGTGTGGAATGAACTGCCAGAGGAAGTGGTGGATGTGGGTACAGTTACAACATTTGGATAAGTACACAAATGCGAAATATTTGGAGGGATATGGGCCAGAAGCAGGCATGTGGGACTGGTTTAAACTGGGATTATGGTCGGCACGGACTGATTGGGCCAAAGGGTCTGTTACCACGCTGTGAGACTCTATGATTTGAGCGAGGGAAATTCCAGAGACCAGGCAGCAGAAGGTATGAGGTGGAGCGGTTATAATATGTAACGAGCCAACAAACTGGCACAACACAAGGATATCGGAGGGTTGCCATGTTGGAGTTTGTTAGAGAGTGAGTGACCGATAGAGCAATACAGTGCTCCCAATAGAGGCCCAAAATTGAGACAATTGTTGAATCAGGTATAGTAGGAACTGCAGATGCTGGAGAATCTGAGATAACAAGGTGTGGAGCTGGATGAATACAGCAGGCCAAGCAGCATCAGAGGAGCAGGAAGGCTGATGTTT